TGCGCCACCACCGCCCGGCTGTGTATGTACATTTTAAAGAATTTGATCCATTAGTGAATATTTAGTTTGCTTCCTTTTCTTGATGATTGTGAATAATGCTGTAGTAAGAATATGAGTACATTGAGATATGCATTTCCATGTGATATATATGCAATAGTGGGACTGCTAGATCATATGGTAGTCCTATTTTTACTTTTTTGTGCTCTTGCATACTCATGTTCATAATTGCTGTACAGTTACATTCTTACTACAATGTACATTGGGACCTTTCTTTACAGTCTTCTTAACACTTATTATTTTTGATAATACATTTTTATAATAATCATTCTTGTAGTAGTGAAATAACATGTCATTGTAATTTTTGGTTGCATTTCTCTGTAAGGTTGTGATGTTGAACTTTTCTTTCTATATATTTGTCACCCATTTTGTCTTTTTCTTTGGACAAATGTTTATTCAGTTCATTTGTCTGGTTTTTAATTGGATATTTGTTTTCTGTGTAATGAATGGAGTTTTTTGAGTTGTTACTGAATTGTTTAAGATTCATGGAAAGGCTCTTATAGTCATGGGGAAGTTGAACATCCCCCCTCCAGATCTCCCTTCCTTATTGGAAACCATGGACCCAGGGGGCCTTTGTGTATGTTTCTAATAGTCAAAGTAAAAGTGGTATCAAGTGAACCTCATCTCCTTTGGCTGTATAGTGACTTTTCTCTGTTCTGTGGTGCAAGGGAATGCTACAGTCTTACAGGTCATTCACTGTGATGTTCTTCACTGTGAATAATTGTTAGTTAATTTTTTTAGGAAGGAGTGAAGCAGATGAACTGGTATCCTGTCACCCATTTATTTCACTTGATCAGATTGATGCCAAGTTTGACATCATCTCTATCAGTTCTTTTTAAAAGTGAGGGCAAGAAGTAAATGCTGACTCAGAGTCTCAGGTTGTACATCTTTTACCTTAGTCATCTTGAACACCACTTTATTACTACTACTAAGGAGGAAGTGTATTCAGTGCTTAAGCATACAGGCCTTATAGTTAGACAGACCTGAAATCTAATTTCAGGCTCTACTACTTATCTGTTCCATGGTCTTGCTTGGGTTTTCCAAGCCCCAGTTTACTAATGTGTAACATGCCAATGATGTTAACAGATCAAGGGCTTCCTCACCTTGGGGAACATGTTGTTTTTTCTGTCTTTATTGCCCTAGATCTCCAGCCCACTTACATAGATGAAATTGTTCTGTGTCTTTAATGATTCTCCTTTCCTTCTAACTGTGGTACTTTTATCACATGATCACATTTGTCCTTGACAACTGGACAGTCATTCTTTAAATAAATAAAAAATAAAGAAGGTAATGAAATTTAAATTAGCCATCTTTTGAGTGGTAAATTATTTTCTGATTTTATATTGCTATTCATGATGTGAACAGACTGCAGGGCAGACACTTTGGGACTCTCCGTGCCTACAGTGCCATATAGGATGACCCAGCGGTGCCACCTGTGCTTCCTGTCTGATCCGTAGTTAAATTTTAATGAGTACAGGCAACCTGTGGTGATGTCATTTGGTGCTTATTTTGGTACAAATACTTTTTCATACTAAAGTTATTTCATCAGGATTCAGTAATGAATGTTTCACTTTCCAGCAAAAATATAATCTTTGATACAAATATAAAAGGGGAGGTTAGGTGGCTGGACTTGGTTAGAAGGTGTTTAGCCAAGTAATTTAGTTTATGCTTAATGCCTATATCTTAAGAAATGAAACTGTGAAGTTCTAAGATTACCTTATCTGCAGCAGAAACCATTAAACATGTTTAAGAATTCTAGTTTGAGAGTTATCAGCTCTGAGTTCCAGTTTCATTGATGTACTAGCAAATCTCCAAACATGCTGTGTTTGAGTTTTTGTATCTCAGTGGTTAAATTCTGACAAAATAGCTTAGTCTTTCTTAAGTGAATAGCACTTATTAGTCTTTGAACTTATAGCCTCAAATAGATTCATGATTCTTCAAGGTCTCATACTCTACCGCCTATTATGATAATTTTCTTATCTATCTTCCTATCTAGTAACAGGAATTTCTCTGAATTGTGCTTATATATCAAAAATACTGCCACCAGAGAAAGAGGGTGGATTACCTCGTCATGTGGGTAATAAAACAGAATGTGCCTTATTGGGATTTCTCTTGGATTTAAAATGGGATTATCAAGATGTTAGAAATGAAATACCAGAAGAAGCATTGTACAAAATCTACACCTTCAATTCTGTTAGGAAGTCCATGAGTACAGTCCTGAAAAATTCAGATGGAAGTTACTGCATCTTCAGCAAGGGTGTATCTGAGATCATGCTGAAAAAGTGTTTCAAAATCTTGAGTGCTAATGGTGAGGCAAAAGTATTCAGACCCAGGGACCGTGGTGATATTGTGAAAACTGTGATTGATCCGATGGCATCGGAAGGCCTGAGAACCATCTGTCTGGCATTCAGAGATTTCCAAGCAGGAGAGCCAGAACCATAGTGGGACAACGAGAATGATGTCGTCACTGGCCTTACTTGCATTGCTGTTGTGGGGATTGAAGATCCTGTGAGGCCTGAGGTACCAGAGGCAATAAAGAAGTGCCAGAGAGCTGGCATTACTGTGCGAATGGTCACTGGTGATAATATTAATACTGCTTGTGCTATTGCTACCAAGTGTGGTATTTTATACCCAGGGGAAGATTTCCTTTGCCTAGAAGGTAAAGACTTTAACCGAAGAATACGAAATGAGAAAGGAGAGATTGAACAAGAGAGGATAGACAAGATTTGGCCAAAGCTTCGAGTCCTTGCAAGATCCTCCCCATACACTGGTTAAAGGTATAATTGATAGCACTGTTGCCGAGCAACGTCAAGTTGTGGCTGTAACTGGTGATGGTACAAATGACAGCCCTGCACTAAAGAAAGCAGACGTTGGATTTGCAATGGGCATTGCTGGAACTGATGTGGCTAAAGAAGCATCTGATATTATTCTCACAGATGACAACTTTACAAGCATTGTTAAAGCAGTTATGTGGGGATGAAATGTCTATGACAGCATCTCAAAGTACCTTCAGTTCCAGCTTCCTGTTAATGTAGTAGCAGTGATTGTTGCTTTCACGGGCGCTTGTATTACTCAAGATTCACCACTTAAGGCGGTACAGATGCTGTTGGTAAACCTCATCATGGACACCCTGGCCTCCCTGGCCCTGGCAACGGAACCACCTACTGAGTTGCTCCTGCTTCAGAAGCCTTATGGTAGAAATAAGCCTCTCATCTCATGCACAATGATGAAGAATATTTTGGGTCATGCATTCTACCAGCTCATAGTGGTTTTTACACTCTTATTTGCTGGGGAGAAGTTTTTTGATATCGACAGTGGAAGGAATGCTCCTCTGCACATTCCCCCTCCAAACATTACACTATTGTGTTCAATACCTTTGTGCTGATGCAGCTTTTCAATGAAATAAATGCCCGGAAAATTCATGGTGAAAGAAATGTGTTTGAAGGAATCTTTAATAATGCCATCTTCTGCACCATTGTGCTAGGTACCTTTGTGGTCCAGATACTAATTGTGCAGTTTGGTGGCAAACCTTTCAGCTGCTCAGTACTTTCAATAGAACAGTGGCTGTGGTCAATATTCCTGGGAATGGGGACCTTACTCTGGGGCCAGCTTATTTCAACAATTCCAACTAGCCATTTAAAATTCCTAAAAGAAGCCGATCATGGAACACAAAAGGAAGAAACACCCGAAGAAGAGCTGCCCCGGCCCGTCCACCCCCCCCCCCCAAGCTCCAGGTCCTGGCTCCGGCTCATTTGTATGTTTCTGTAGCTAGAGTTTTCCTGCCTTGCCCACAGTCAGGACAAATCTCTCTCACCCGCCAGTCCCACAGCTGCTCAGACCCAACCAAGTAAACACAGAGACTTATATTGCTTACAAACTGTATGGCCATGGCAGTCTTCATGTTAACTGTTCTTATATCTTAAATTAGCCCATTTCTATAAATCGATACCTTGCCACGTGGCTCGTGGCTTACCAGCATCTTCACATGCAGCTTGTCATGGTGGTGGCTGGCAGTGTCTCTGCCTCAGCCTTCTACTTCCCAGAATTCTTTTTCTCTTTGTCCTGCCTATACTTCCTCCTGCCTTACTACTGGCCAATCAGTGTTTTATTTATTAACCAATCAGAGCAACACATTTGCCATACAGAACATCCCACAGCACTTCCCCTTTTCTTTTCTTTTTTTTTTAAAAGGAAGGTTTTAACATTAACAAAGTAAATTTACATACAATTTGGGCGTAGTTTTTCTTACTACTTCCTGCTGGAGGGGGCGTTGTATCTTATGGGGACACAAAGAAAATTTTAGGATTATGGAATAGTTCATGAGGCTGTATTGTCTGAGCCAGTTGCCTTGAATCCGATTTGGACGTTGGATTATCTGGGCCATGGTGTCATCAGAGACCTTTCAGGGGGTCTTGGCTAGTCAAACCTGATGTATCTTAATCTGGAACAAATCCATAGCCTCTTGCTTTCTGTGGAAACAAAAGCAGAGCCTCCTTTTCAAAGCAACACATCCTTATATCCAAATTTTAAAGACAAGGAATCTTTAAAATATATATATTGGTGTAACTCAACATCTTTTATGATCAAATGTTTTTTTGTAGTTAAAAATCCCAAAGACAACACAATCCAGATTCTCTGTGTAATATTCATCTTTACGTGGCTTATTTTTTATATTAATTTTACTGTCTCTTTAAAGACTTTATTTTTTAAAACTGTATTTGTTTATATAGCTGTATATATCACCTTTTTTTTTCCTCTTTCAAGCCTACGTATATTTTATACACATTGTAAACCATTACATCTGAATCTGTCTTATTGTGAATCTATTGCTTTAAACTGTAGCATTTGTATGACTGAAACTGCGCTATCACTGCTGGCTTTGCCCACTTCAGGTTCCCAACATGGCGGTGGTACATTTACTGCCAGCTCTGGGAGCTATCATGGGTCTATGCTTTTATCCAAGCAACGTGTAGCTTTTTTTTTTTTTTGTTTTGTACTAGCAAACGTTAAATCCACCACACAGCTTAATGTGCCACTTGCAGAGGCCTCATTCCTTCCATACTGCAGATCGAGCGTGCATGCTAGGAGCCCACCAGTAGCTCAAACAGGCAGGCTGCCACTCATTTGAGAGAGACAATTAGGAAGCTGTTTTTAGCTCCGTTTTAGAATCTTTTTTCAGGTTTTAGGTGGAAACTCTTGCCCCACGTTGGGCGCCATTTGTAGCTAGATTTGTCCTGACTATGGGCCAGGCAGGAAAACTCTAGCTACACTTATAGCCTCAAATAGATTCACGATTCTTCAAGGTCTCATACTCTACCACATATTATGATAATCTTCTTTCTGATCATTATGTAGCAGAATGTGAGCTCTGCTATGACATCATAGGGTCACAGATTCTCACTGTTTGCCAGACCTGAGAATATACTACATGCTGAGTGGTAATATTCTAATACGAGAAGGACCCTCTCTGCCTGATAATGGAAACTTTGTGTTCATGCTCTTGCTTCATGAAGACAGTGGAAACCTGCATTATTAATGGATGAGTAGAGAGTAGTCAACTCAACTTAGTTCACAAAAAAGCAAAATTTCTGTTCTACTATACAATAGCCTGCTATGAATCACACATTCAGAATAGCTGGGCCTTTGAGATTGTGTAGCTCAGTGTTATTAAAACTTTATTTTATTTAACATTAGAATCACTTTGCTGGCAGGAATATTCAGCAGAATATAAATGTGTAAATGCCTTCATTATTAGGGGAACAGAAGACAGATTTTCCAAGTTAGCCCTCTCTTTTGCACATCTCTTCCTCAGCCAGTCAAGGATTCCTAAGGACTCTGAAAATATACTTTTCAGAGTCTTACTTGTGATACAGTTCCATTCCTGAATATTTCATGAAGATTAGAAGCCTACCTTTTCTTAAAAATATAGTTGACCAGAAGCCAATAACTTTATGTCACTGATAATTTCTCATAAGATAATTGTTTGGGTGTTCATGAAATCATGAAATTAATGACAAGATAGCCTGCCTTATAGGTACGTACTAATTAAATGATTACTATATACCAGTGCCTGATTAATATTTATTAACAACCCAGAGTCACTTGAGGAGAGGAAAGTCAGTTGAAGATTTGCCTGGATCAGAATGGCCTTTGGCCATACCTATGAAAGTTTGTCTTGAGAGATGATTGATGTACAAGGGCGGTACAATCTGTAGGCAGGTGGGTTTGCACTATGTAAGAAAGCAATCTGAGTATAACTAGAGAAAGAAAGGGGCAGTAAACAGTGATCCTCTGTGGGTTCTGGATAAAGATTCTGCCTTGATTTCCTGCCCCTACTTCCCTCTGTGATAGAGTGCAATATGACTGTTGCAAGATGAAAATAAATCCTTTTCTTCCCAAGTGGTTTTTGGTCAGGGTGTTTTATCACAGCAAGAGAAAATCAAACTGGAACAACCAGACATTCTTCTTTACCAATAATATTATTTTAATCTCACAATAAGCCTACAGATAGACACCATATTATTTTCGTTTTGTAGAACAAGAACCTAAGGTTCAGGATTCAAGTGACACAATGACCAGTTTCACAAGACTCATAAGGGTAAAGAATGATGAGGGAACTTTTACTCCCTCCCCTTTGTAATAATACTCCATTGTAAATAATACACACACACCCCAGAAGACTGTTTCAGAAGCAGCTTTTAAGCAGTATCTTCCCTAGTTGTTAAACTAAAATTAAATGGTGTATAGGTTTGTTGAAAGCTCTTTGTGCTATAAACATGTAAGGTGCCATTGATGACTAAGTCTTTCAGTCTCAATTAGTGCCAAATTAGTGTCTAAAGTTAGTATTGTAGTTGGATCTGTAAAATGATAAAGCATATAGTGAAAACATAAAACTTACATTTCTTCATAGTTTTGCCTTAATATAACAAATGTTGATAAAGCTTTCCCACTTTTTCCTGTCTTGAACTAGTACAGTATAATTGATAGAATCCTTACTGGTTTTTAAAGTAGCTATTTATATAGAGACACATCCTCCTTTCTCATAATAGTGAGTAGAGTAAATGTGATATAATTGTAAAATACAAGAAGCAGGCCACCATTAGGCTTCTTGTCTTGTGCTCTAGGACTCTTGAGCCTTTGTGTACCATCTTAGAATCATATATTTAATTGGCAGATATCAAATACACAGGAAAAAAAGGTAGAACAATTACTCTAAGGTATGCTATTCAAATATTTTCAAAAATTGAAATAACCTAGAACTTATAAAACATTTTCATATAGTATCCTATGTATGGAGATTCCTATGAGATTTATGCCCAATCACTAAAATTGTTCTTCACTTGGTGAATGGTTAAATCAACTATGGAAATAGTAATAATGTTAAATGTTGCTTACTAGTAAAAGTACACTATTGATTTATGCAGTAATCTATGTGACTCTCCAAGGCAGTATGATGCATAACAAAGGCCATCTCATGGGGTATAATTTCATACACATATGTAACATTAATAAATACAAATTATAGAAATGTTAAAGAGATTAGTGGCTTTCAGAGTAGAAAGTTGTGACAGGGTGATAGATCTAGTTATGAAAGGTCAACATGAGGGATCATTGTGGGAATGAGCTGTCTGAATGTTGGCTATATTAATCTACAGGTGATAATATTGCATTGAACTTTATTCATATAGAACAATATACCACACATACAAGTAAATGTTGGTAAAATTAGGATACTATGAATAAGATATTTGCATTTTTGTCAATATCAGTATTGCAACTGTGATATTAGAGTGTTTCTTTGCAGGATGGTGTGATTGGGGAGAGTAAGAGATCTCTGTGAATTATTTCTTACAATTTTGTGCATATTTCTATTATTTTAAAATAGGTTACAGATCAAGAAATAGTATACTTCCTTATGTTTTTTTGTTAAATAACAGAAGAATGTGGCAGATTGTATGTAATAAGCATACATTATATTTCAAATACTTCCACAAATGTGTGTTGTAGTACAGTAGAAAACTATCTCTAAGTGAGTAGGTTTATGAGCTGTTTTGCCACTGTAGTTTTTTTTTTTTTATCTACATTCATAATATCAAAGAGCGCTAAACTTAATGTGACATTTTCTGAAAATAAAGATGTTATGTTTCCCTCTCAAAATTATTTGTACACTACCTGGATTTGGAACCCAGGTTAAGAACCTTTGGGTTATTTTTTGTCTGTTTACATTTCATTAGCTGATGTATATCAAGGGCTTTTGCCAGTTTAAAAATATACATAGTGCTTATACTTTTTTCTACCTCAAGTAGTATGAATAGTGATAAGAGCTCATAAAAATGCTAGACCCAGTTTATAGTTTTGAAGATTTACTTGATGTTATTCAGCCATATGCACATTGTTCACAATAATTGCTTAATAGTAGTTTCATAAGCCAATTATGGGTAAGTTTTATGCATAGAACCACCCTCCCATTTATTGTTAGATAAAAAAGGAAAAACTCCGATTGATTGTTTATTATCCATAGTGACTACTATTGAATATTTTAAGTGTTAAAATTTGCTTTCACTAGCAAATCATAATAGTTGAGTGTTTGTTATAATAAAATATTTGTACACACACACACACACACACACACACACACACACACACATGGTCTGGGTTAAATATATATTCACAGTTTCTTAGCTTATATATTTTTCTCATAGTACATGGGCCCAAGGAATGATTTAAGTATTTTGTTTTCTGATACCCTTGGGCTCTACAATTTTGTT